GTCGCATAGAGGGGGACGATCACCTCCCTGGCTCTACTTGAGATGCACCTGTGGATGCACGACAAGGTCCAGTTAGCCCTGCCAACCGTGACCTCGCATTGTCGGCCCATGTTCATCTTGGAGTCAATAATGACTCCAAGATCCCTTTCTGCCTCCATGCTCTCAAGAAGGGAGTTTCCCATTCTGTAAGTGTGCTGCTGGTTTCTACTGCTTAAGTGCAGCACCCTGCACTTGTCAGTATTGAAATGCATCCTGTTTATGTTAGCCCACTCCTGTAACCTATCCAGGTCTTGTTGCAGTCTTTCCCTCCCTACTAGCGTGCTCATCTCACCCCAAATTTGGGTCTTCTCTTCCCAGCTTACTGCTGAGTTCCAGGTAGTGAATCCAATGCAGCAGGTCCCAGCCTTAAAAATTGATGGCATCACCCTGTCTCAGTCGGTGAGTGACCCAGCAGCTCTGCCTGTTAATCATTCACTCTGTCCTGTTTCCTGCCTGGAAGCAGGACTTTAGTCCCAGGGTGCCTGGTCTTGGAGTTAGTGACCACTTGGCATCTGAGGTGAAGAAGATGATTCAGACTGGGCGGGAACTAGAATGGCGCTCCTGCAGGCAAACTGCTGGGGGAAGTTGTTTGCCCCATCCCTGCTACCAAGAAATGCTCCTTAGCACCTGGTATTGGTAATCCTAGTTCAGCAGCTGCTTTAAAATCCCACCTCAAACCAAGCAGTTTGCCTAGCAGACCCTGTCAAGAGGACTGACATCAGGTGGTATGAGCCAGGTCAGTCAAGTTTCCCTGGAGCTGTTTTTCTGCATAAGGAATCTTTGCCATGGGGCAATTAGAATAGGCCTAAGCACTGCTGGACCAAACAGACTGGAAGTCTTGGCCCATGACTCCCCCACAGTTTTTGTCTTATATTGGGGCTGGCCTTTCTTATCATCCCACTAGTATCCTACCCCATCTCCTTGCTCCTTGCAGCTGGCCATCATTGAGTACCTGGAAGAGACCCGGCCTAACCCCAGACTCCTGCCTCAAGACCAGAAGAAGAGAGCCCAAGTCCGAATGATCTCAGATCACATTGTTTCTGGCATTCAACCACTACAGGTACTGTCCTGTCACAAGCAGCCATGTGAAATGCAGACTGATGTAAACCCAGCCTGAGGTCTCTAAGCAATTTCAACAGCATCATGCCCATTTAAACTGCTAGTGGGCAACAGGATACTTCTCACAGAGCTGGTGATATCAGATCCAGAGGCATAACAATGCAACTGAGCACCCAGGAGAGTGGGATGCATGGAGGCACTAGTAGCTTCTGATTGCCACCAGCATACTTCTGTAGCTGTAGTGGAAGCTCTTATTTTTCTACCCCCCAAGTTGGTGGCCAGAAATGCTGTCTTGTTTACCTTACTAATCAGACCAAATCCGGGCTCAGTGTGGATAGAACTATCTGCCTAGTTCCTCAATGGAAAAAACATGATACTGTTGCCAAGGCAAGATGATCTTCCCTGAGCAATCTCTGTGGGATGCCAGGGCTTCTCTTCAAGAACAGCTGAATTTAGCTGCAGGGTGCCAGACTTCAGCTGCAGGATTTAACATCTTGTGGGGATGACTGAGCCCTGGTGGAGGAGTGTTCTGGCATGGGCTGTTTGGGGGAACTCTGAGAATGTAGCTGGAATTTGTGATTCTGTCAGCAAGAGCAGAAAACAGAGTGGTCTAATAGGAGTATCTTTTGTCCATCCCTAGTGCCCAGTCCTCTTCTGTTCCCAACTCTGACCCTGTCTGGGGGAGGTTTTGGGCAGGTTGCAGCCTGCTGGGTCAGTCTAACTTGGCAACTTTCTTTGGCCTTCTCAGAACCTGGCCATCCTGCAACGAGTGGGAGAGAAGAAGCTGGAATGGGCTCAGCACTACATTACAAATGGCTTTCAAGGTATGTCCCATAGCTGACATAATCAGCATAGTTGTAGCTGTGTGGGGGGTTTAAAGTGGCAATTCCAGGGAATTGTTAGGTAAACAGTTTTCTGCATTCACTGGGACTGGACTTGATGGCCCAGGAGGCCCCTTCCAATCCTCCCTCAAATGGCTGCTGGGGCCCAAGTATCATCTCATTCCTGCCTTTGTGATTTTCACCTCCCTGCAGGTACCCTCCTGGGCAGCCCCACTCAAGGCCTGGGGTGGCTCATTCCTTCATTCCTCTCAATCAAAAAGGCTGCTGTGTTTTCCCCCCTCCCCTCAGACAGCCCCTGAAAGTGGAGTCCCCAGATTCCTGACCCAGCATGACTTCTTTCCACAGCTCTGGAGCGGATCCTGAAGCACACAGCTGGGCGCTACTGTGTCGGGGATGAGGTAAGATGTTCAGGCAGAGTGCTGCTCACAGAGAAAACAGAAATCCAGCACCTCTTACATAGCAGTGGAGATCAGGGGTTTGGGGCATGGCCTGTGCTCAGAAGTTGAAGCAGAAGTTAAGCTTCAGGTATCTTAGTTAAGTCATTACTTGGCATCCTGCAGGCTCGAGTGCCCTTGGCTAGTCCTCATTTAGGAAATAGCTCTTTGACTTGATCTCCCACACAAGAAACTAGGTTGCTTTTTTCCCAGTGTAGTGGGGTTGGCAAAAAGCCATACAACAGAAGGAAGGTTCACTTGTCCCTCTCTGTAAGCTGGTTGCCAGATACCACAACACATGATCTGCCTTGACAAGATTGTGGAAATTGGCCAGGTTAGAGTAAGCTGGAGAACGGGATACACAACACTTGATCTCCAAGGCAGTGGGTCCAACTGGGTCCATTTGTTAGCCGTTTTATGGTCCCAGGAGTCAAATGTGGGATGGGAGGGATATCAGTCCTATTCCTGAGGAGCAGGCATCTCCAGAAGAGACTCAGTAGAATATAAAGTCTAGATACCCTTTGAGGTGGCTTTCCTAGTCAGAAGGAGCACTCTGGCAGTAATGGTGCTCCTGCACTACTTGCACTATCAGTACATGGCTCAGTTTCCAGCCCTGCCAAGCTAGCATCAAATTCTCTTAAACACTTTTAAGAAAAGGGAGATTACCCTAATGTAGCACAGATTACATGCCTATTTTTGCCAGGTAGAGGAGAAAACACACAGCCCCTAGGCTAAAAAGTCCACTCCTATTTCTCCCCAACACCACCTAAAAGGAAGTCGGTCTTACAGTTAAAGCACTGATTTGGCCCTCAAGAAATTTTCATTCAGTTCCCTTCCACAGACTTACTGTGTGACCTTGGTCAAGTCATTTAATATCACACACACACACACACACACACACACACACACACACACACACACACACACACACAACCACACACAC